TACTACTTCTACTAGTAAAGTTTACTTTAGCAGTGCAATTGATTGATCTATTCTAATTATGAAGGGAGAGAGTGGATTTTGTTATGAGTAAACTCTAAATACACTGCTCCGATTTTAATTTTTTTGTCTCTTTTTGAAAGGTATTAATAACTTATTCCTATGTCAATTTAATCTAAATTTTCTGTTAATGTCTCTCAGTCTGTATGTTTGTACATGCTTCACGCATAAACTACTGCATGAAAGTGAACGTAAATTTCTAACTTGAAATATTGACATAAAATTATGCCGTTCGAAGCAAAAGCGTAAACTTACATTAATTCTTTATACCATTCCACCATTACCATTCAATATATTACTATTAGATACGATGTCTCAAGGTCACCATTGTATCACAAATCGTAAAGGTCTAAAGTGTGGGTAATAAGTATAATATTTATTTTATGACAGAATAATTATTTATTCTGTCATAAAATAAGTACGTAATTTAAAGATATCTAACGTTTACCTGGCAAAAAGCGATATCCACTCAACAAACGAAAAGACCCGAAAAATATAAATACAAGATTAAGTGGAATGAATATAAATAACTGGCGACCCGCCCCGACTTCTCATGCGTTCAGTTTATGTAAGCATCTATAATTCAAAGAGAAAATCTGTTATTTTCGACTAATCTACGACGGCCTCGGTGGTTTAGTGGTTTACCACACCGCCTTTCTTCCGATGGTGCGGGTTCGCGGATTCCTCGCATAGGTACAAACGTTTGTATTCATAAGTATGATTGTTTGTCTATGTATAAGTATGGGTGTTTTCTAAATATTTATGTCTGTTGTCTAGTACCCTTAACTCAAGCTCTGCTTAGCTTAGGTCTAGATAACGCTGTATAAGTTGTCCAGGTATTTTACACTACAATATATTAATATATTAATAAATAAGAAAATATTTTTTGAGCCTTTTCATACGATGACGCTCTTGGTTGTGTAAATAAATACTAAGATTATTGGCCAGTTTTTTTAATTAATTAAAATTGTTATAATGTATGCGGATGATGTGATTGATATGCGTATACGATCGTTAGCTTTTGAATCCGGTTAACGTTGAAACGCCGAAGTGAACACTGCATGTTGCCGTATTAAAATAATATTTTGAGCTAGACATACAACCGTGCCTGAACACAGTTAAAAAAATGAAGCTAAATGTATCGTCTTACACAAAAGGCATTACACATCAATAACTCACATATGTGGCTTTCCTGTTAGGTTTTGCGATTCCATTGTTATTATTATTTTAGTCATTATTCATAGTCATTATTTTAAAACTTATCTATAACAATAATTTTTCTTTGTATTTTTTGTTGAATTTCTTGTATGTACCTAATCGTACAAGTTTTTACATAATTGGAACGCTAAACAAGCTATTGGCCCGCCTGATGGTAAGTGGCAACCGTCACCTGTATGTATATATAGGTAAGTATATTAACAGATCTTCATCTGATCACGGATCACGGACATCACGTTCCGTAGAAAACTTTATAGCGTATATTTTTTCTCAGCGTCTAGACTAGACGTCTAGTCTAGATCAAATTTCATTTCAATAGATTCAGTAGTTTTGGCATGAAAGCGAGACAGACACACAGAGTTACTTTCCCATTTATAATATTAGTAAGAATAAGTATTACCATGAGTAATCCTTAAAGTACGTACAACTACCTATTATATATAGTATATTGAATTATCTCATGTCCGTTTCTTATTAATAGTCGTTATCAGAATTAATTTTATTGTTTCATTACTCTTTATTTCCCGTTAATACCAATAGTAGGTGATACGTACAATATATCTACTAGCCGCAAAATTGAAGTCGATATAATTTGACAAAGATACTATCAATGTCGTTCTAGTATTTTAATATAATACGCTAAATAGCATATTTATGAAAATTAAGTAAATTATTAATAAGATATTTAACTATAAATTATCAGTCTAACATGAGGTACACGTACCTAATATTTTTTTATTAAGTGATCAAATAAAATATTTTCACCATAAAAACTTATAATAAATTACATGAATAATAAAGCAACTATTTATTACATTATATATTAATTTTCTAAATAAAAAAAAAACAAAAATATATGATTCCGGCCAGGATCGAACTGGCGGCCTTCTGCGTGTAAAGCAGATGTGATAACCACTACACCACGGAACCGGTGATATAGCTTCCCAAATATCTGTTCTTACTGTATAGCTACGTACAATAAGTAATGCCCGCGGCAAATAATGTCAGATAAGAATACTTTCTTGTTTAATACTTTTATGATGTGTAATTTCGATGACATGATATACCAATATTATTTACTTACTACTTCAAATACAAATAACCTTAATACTACATACCATATAAAATCTTAGTAATCCCATATAGTCCCACTTTACCGGTCTTCTTCTTTCTGGTTCTAAGATTCATTAATAATTTCTTTAAATATTCTTGACAACAATCGTTCATATAATGAATCGTTCGTATAGTGAGTTTCAGCTAGTGTAATTTTTATATAATTTCAGTGAGCATTATATTTTTCCGTTGTAGGTATTTGTTAGACAACTGGATACTCTTATATTGTTTTAGATACTATTATATAAATAGTATTATTGTCTGACATTCCATTTACCTCCATAAAATATGAATAAAAGCTATATCTATAAATACATATTTAGAATAAAAATACATTTCAGGTTACCTACAGTACAGTATACAACCAAAACTATGACTAATACCGAAAGTACATTCGAGAGTAGGAACTTACTTAAATTCGATAATTTATTATTAATCGATAATCTAAGTAGACTCTCATATTAACCTACACCTTCATTTTGTGTCACGATGTAATGAGGTTTTGTTAATGAGATATAATATTTATACGAAGATTTTATACATTAGTCAAAAGGAATAATACCACATACAGACATCATTATGTAATTTGGAATATCTGTTACTATTCAAATAATATTTTATCCGTTACTGCTATTTTATTCAATTGTGCATTAAAAATAATAAATGAATAATCATTTTTAACAATCAAGTAGAGTGACCGCTGTGTTTATATTACATAAAAAATGTGCGGAATAACGTTTTCTTTTGTTCTTCTTTGACCCAAATACATAAATGTAAAGCATGTCAACTGTCATATCTACATAATTGCAATATTTGCGAGAAATTCACTTTATGACTATTGTATTACTTACCTACTTGAATCTAATAAGTGGTTCATAAATTAAATCACAGCAATTTCTGTAACTTCTAACCCTAATCTAAACCCTAACCCCTTCTAACTATTTAATAGTTCTAGTAGTAACTATAAACTATTCCTTTTACTCACAATGAAATAGTGAAAATTTCATGTTTATAATACTAAAATTGAAACGTCACATCACAAAATCTAACTCTCGAGAGGGTAGAGCCCTTCACCTATCAAGGGTCCAGGTCTCATAACACTATTATCTTACACGAAGTTTGTGACTTGTTATACGTCACATATTATGCAGTTTTACAGATAGGTACTAGTAAAAGGAGTGTAAATACATATATATATATATATATACGTATATGTATGTTTAGACATGTATAGTTGGAAATGTTTATTTGTTTTTCATTTTTAGTTCAAATTTCGTATTGTATTAGGATGAGGTAGGTATACCTATTAGGTTTTAAAATGTGACGTTACAAAAATGTTACACTTTGGCCAAACCGTACGTACGTAACCGTACGTAATTTATGGATGGTACCTAAATGCAATATTATATGCTGGAAGAAAGATTTTTAATATTGCTCCTAATACCGGCAATCTGTTTGACCTCCACGTGGTTTCTCCTGAAAATCATCATGATAAATTCGTGGTCAACTTGTCACAATGAGTTAACAGACCTGACACTATATGCTCATCTTATCATTCTCCACTGGTCTACATGATTTACCCACGCGGGCCAGGGTACCAACTTTTCTTTATCTTTAGCTTCCATCTCCCAGGTTGTCTATAAGAGATTGCTTTAAGCGACAAGGCCGCCATTTGTTTATCGTATTTGTGTAATATTCTATTTTTAGGTAAAATTCCGTTTTTTTTTTGTGTGCGATAAAGAGTTCTATTCCTATTATTATCTTTCAACAAAAAAATTAGGAACATCCTGGAGATTAAAAAGTGACATTATATTTACGCTCCACCAAGACGTGTTTATTGTTTAACTAAATTAAGGTCATCTACGACTAGATTAGTATGGAATTGAATGATTTAATTAAATGATATTGTAAACAAACATACCTATAATTGTTATTTAATGACTTCTTAATCGACAGGTACTTTATTTATAGTCGGATGTGGTTTTTTATATTCTGATATGCTATTTACAATTTTTGTAAACAACAAATTAAATTCTGAGTTAAATGAAGCGTTACCAAGTCGGTTACATCTTATTTTGTAATTTAGTTACCACTGATATTATTTTATATCAAAAACATTTTTTTGTTACGTAACTTTAATGCCAAATATGCTAATAGCCCACATCATAACAAGTGGTAATAATAGCTTACAGACTATGCTAAAGCTATGTATCGCCATTCCTAAGATCTAAGATCTCATGCATCCGCAAGTTCATAGCCTATAATTTTATTAAACTAAAATAGGTAACTCGCGTTTTCTAGTCTATTTATTCTTTTTTCTTAGCTAAACAATTCTAGATGTGGTAATAGTAAAAAGTAGAGTTGATAATATAAAAAATGCAGCAATAAATTCAAAATATTCTTTATTGCACAGATAATAACATTGATACGTACTATAATTTAGAGATAATGTGAGCAAAGGTATTATATTATAATTATATGAAGGTATTATATGATTTCAAACTTTTTCATGGCCCTATATGATTTTGAAACTGAAAATCCTAAATGTAAAAAATAAATATTAGATACATATAATAGTACATATTATATGTAATCAAGTTACATAATTTCAGTACTGCTCGAGAAGCTATTAAGATCTTGTGGCGATGTAGACACTGTCTACGTGTTGATCCGAAGCAAGAAAGGAAAAGACCCTACAGTACGCCTGCACGAAATGTTGGATGACTTTGTAAGTATTGCAAAACTAAATAATAATTACACAAAGAGTTGTAGCAATAATACTCAAACTTATTATTTTTATCTAAATAATAATAATAATAACAACCCTGGATAACCCGTACCGTAAGCTTGTGTTATGGGTACTAGACAACTGACATAAATACATAGAATTTTGACAAATACATAAATAATATACACCGAAAACACTTATGAATACAAATGTTTGTACCCTGCGAAGAATTGAATGACAATTCACACTGTGCCTTCTAGTCCCAAGCTAAGCTTATGGGTACTGGACAACTGATATAAAAGTATAGATATATATTTTGTACATACTATACACATATTATGCATAGAAAACAACCTGACCGATATAAACCGCAATCGAACCCGCGACCATCTGATACAAGACGGTGTGCTAAACCGCTACACCGAGGCCGTCAAGATACTGATTTCACTATAAGCATTCTGTGATTGACTAAATTATGTATATTACCAAAACTTAATTATAAATGTATTTATTTTATTATTCAACGGCGCACAAAAACTAAATCAACATTTTAATTACCTTCATTGCTAACCTAGTTATGAAATAATATTTTGAAATTATATTAAAATATGTGGTATTTTTAATATAATTTACAGGCGCTTTCAAAATTACAATAGTGCCTAATTATAGTTATAATTATTAGGGTCAATGTAAGCATACATAGGTGAACATGATTCCTAAAATAGTTATCTTCCAGTCAACTCAACAACTTAAGTATTAATTAGCTTTGTTATCGGTGTTTTCCATTATCGGCGAGTCAGCAGAAAGATATACATCACAGATATTCTTCGTATGGACAAAATTAGAATTCATGGGTTTCGTTTAAACTTTAATAGTAAACCATAATATAGTTCACGATATTTGTGAATACATAACATATATAAAAAAGATGCTGTCTTATCAAACATATTTATCATAAAATAATAATATGTGACGGGATCGGTGGTCCAGCGGTTTAGCACACCGTCTTCTATCCCATGGTCGCGGGTTCGATCGATTTACGCTGGCGGGGGTTCGATTGGGGTTTGTATCGGTCAGGTTGTTTTCTATGCATAATATGTGTGTATGTACAAAAAATATATCTATGTATACTTTTATATAAGCTTAGCATGGGACTAGAAGGCACAGTGCGAATTGTCAAAAAAATAAAGTTCAACGAAGCTAAACTAGGAAGTTAATAATCTGAACACCTAATAGTTACACAATATACAAAAATATTAATATATTTCAGTTATTTTTTCGTGCTCATGAAGAAAACCCTAAAGGCATTCATAAAATCGTACCGATAGTTGGGGACATGGAATTACCTGGACTTGGTATCAGTGAAGAAGACAGAAGGACTATTACTAGCAAGGTAAAATATTGTGAACAATTTACTACTGTTTTAACAAGTGAAGTAACACGCAAACAGACAGAGGTTTTAATTTTATATATGGTTGATTTTAATTCGATACCTTTGTTAGTCTTCCTTACCTTACAATTCAACAATAATGTTTATATACAACATATAAGCCTTTTCTTCTTCTAGGTCTAGATAATATTATCGTAGTAAATAAAAGTATATTTTAAATCATATATTTTTTAAATAAAATAATATAATGTTATTCTACAAGAAAAATTTTGTATAAAGTTCTGAACCTTTCCCTAATTAAAGTGCTAGTGTTAGAGGGCTATAGTGATGTTTCTGTTTTTCATCTACAGATAACAGTTATAATAAATGCTGCAGCGACAGTTAAATTTGATGAGAAGTTATCAATATCTACAGCCATCAACGTTAAAGGAACAAAAGAAGTTATTAAACTGGCGAAAGAGTGCAGAAACTTGAAAGCTATTACGCATGTATCTACAGCCTTCTCCAACACGCATGTTGATTACATCGAAGAAAAGTTAGTAGAAATTCTTCATTATTATTATCATTACCACATACGTATACACTACAAACTGATTAGTAGCCATCCATAAATTGAATGATTGACATTAATCTTCTTATCATTTTTGTCACAGCTCTCACACACACACAAACACACATATTTATGTGTCCTCCTCACTAGTAGATATAACGTAAATTTACATCTAGAAACGATTAAATCAACAAACAAACAAAAGTTTTAAAATTCGTTTTAATTCCATTTAAAATATTTTTATTAATAAAATGTAGAATTTGAAATGTAACTTCACGAAATTTATAACTCCTTCCATTCTTTGTCCATATATATATATATATTCTATGGTATGTATGAAGTAGTCAAAGGAGAGATCCTATTGTCTGAATATTTTTAAACTACACGCACCACCATGCACAATGTATCGTTATATCAAATCATTTCATTATTATCTATAGTTTGCACATTATATTACATTCACATATAACTAGCGATCCTATTTGGGATCTAACGGGTGTACAGTATAGTATGTGTAATACGCTAACTATATGTTTTGTTAAATACATATAGTTCTTAATCTTCTGGAAGTAATTCTTTAAATGATAGTGAACCCCATATCATGGTTTACAAGAAATAGGCGAAGAATCAGACAGATGAAAAATATGAAATAACTAACGAATATTTTACATTATTTATTACGTTAACTACCATAGATAGTAAGCGGGTAGTACTAGAATTCTTGAGATTTCGCTACTTGCTTTAAAAATAAATTTTTCCAATGAACCAATTGTATTGAAAGTAAAACAAATTTTAATAATTAGAATAACATTTTTGAGAATATAACTTATTACAGATTCTATGAACCGCCGATGTCAGTGGAAGCACTAGAAGCTGTATCTGAGCTGGACGAGGGTCTTGTAGATGCTATTCTGCCAACGTAAGTACAACAAATATATAGAATAACAATTTCGTTTTATATGACCCTCAACAGTAGAGTGAAATGGAAGTAGAAACGATATTTCTTCAAATAAACTTAATATAAGCGGTTTTATATAGTATTCTTTTTTATTCTACTAGTTATTACATATATGATTCAAGGTTCTTTATTTCTAAAACATCAGGTGATTATATAAACATGAAAAGATGTTAAAACATCACGAATATTTATTTTGCCATTCCTCATTATTAAAGATTCATGGATATTGTTTTAAATAATTAATTTGAGATGTACATTTAAATCTATTACGAACTTAGTCCTTCTAACCGTCTAACCGCACATGTGTGAATACAATGAATCTATTTAATTATATTTTTTCATGCTTTTAGTCTTCTGGGCAAACGTCCAAATACTTACTGCTTCACAAAAGCAATAGCGGAAGAGGCTGTTAGAAAACATGGTGAAGGCATGCCGATCTGCATCGTTAGACCATCTATAGGTAAGTATAATTACAGCAGAAATGCAAAATTGTCCACTCCAAAGACTATTCTATACAGACCTCCCAACTTAATTGATTTTAATAGGAATTCAGGCAAATGAGAGTTATAACGAGTTAGTAGAGTTCTGATTATGTTGGACGAAATTCACCGAGGTAATGAATAATTGAACAAAACGAGTCTATTATTGTAGCAAAAACTTTATTAGGATGGTACACTGACATCAGTACAGTTACGGATTCCGTTCATCTGAGCATCAACGTAGATATATAACTTACTAGATGATAGACTTCATCTCCACAACCTTTAACATCTCCTCCCAATTTTTTTTTTAGATTGAAGGTAATCCACGTCTATCTTCATAAAACTATTACATTACATACTAACTATATTCATGTCAAATATTTAGATTGGTTAAGTCGTTTGGTCGTAAAATTTAACAAATATACAGACCTACACACTTTTGCAATTATAATATTAGTTTCGACTATTTTTTATACTCATACTTTAATATCTTTAATATTTTCTGTACTAAATCCAACGAACCCAAAAAAATATCCATACCGCTATGTGATCATGTGAATTTTTGAATGATAATTATGTGTGTCTCACATTCAAGGTCTACAGCTTCATTTGACCTTAAATTCAATACTAAAACAAATTAATAATTAAGAAGCATTCAAAATAATTTTCAAAACTGGATAGTGAATAGTGAGATCAAAATTATTGCTAAGTGGAGATTTTATAATCGATAGGAATTAGATGGAAAATTATACATTTTTATGTAACTAGAATGGAAAACAAGTTGGTCCACCTAATGGAAAAAAGCATGTCGCCTATAGAACTAATTCTATTAATTATATTCTATAGAATTAGTTCTATCTGTGTTCCAAATTTCATTTAAATTGGTTCTACTGAAACAATTTAAATGAAATTTGGAAGTTTCGCGTGAAAGCGAGACAGTCAGATAGACAACGTTACTTTCGTAATTATAATATTAGTAAGGATTACTGTTGTATATTTTACAGTTCTGTCAACATATGAGGAACCCGTTCGCGGTTGGACTGACAGTATTTACGGACCTACGGGTATTATTATTGGAACTGGTACCGGGGTGAGTACGCTTTGCCCTTTTTAACATCTACTGACGACAATAAAATTACTTACAAAGTCCGTAAACTCCATTGAGATATTAAGTACATAGAGAAGGCACCGCAATTACTATTGTTGTTAGTTGATTGCGAGAGTCCAATCGACTGAGGAGATATATTTGAAAACTGAAGTCACTCGCTGTCTCTAATTATTCATAAAATGCAGTAATTATGATAAGATATATAATTTGCAATATTAAGGCTAATAAAAAAGATAGTGCACAAATTCAAGGTTAAAAATAATACAAACAAGTTTTAATTACTTTTCAAGGTTATCTTATGTTTCTCTAGGTATTTAATAACCTTTAACACCCCGTTAAAGGTGTATATTTTTTTTTATTTTAGTAAATATAAATATAAATTATTGCTGTCGCCAGGTCCTTCGAACTATGTATATGGATATGAATAAAACAGCTGATATGGTCCCAGTGGATCTTACTGTCAACGCAATCTTGGCTTCAGCCTGGCACACAGCTAAAAACTTCAAAGAAAAGTAAGTGATAACAAAAGTATTTATTTGCTAATTTAAAAAAAAACCACTTAATTAAAAATTTTACAAATTGTGTATTGATTATATTTTAATTAAAAATTGTATCATATCATAAGTGTCTATAATTATACATATAAGAATAATGATATATTGTTTTTTTTATTTTGATACATTTCAGTCAAACATCCGATATTCCGATATACAATTTTGTTTCCGGCGCGCAGAACCCATGCAAGTGGGGCACTTTTGTTGAGTTAAATAGAAAATATGGGATTGACAAACCTACAATCAAAGCTGTTTGGTAAGTATTACGTATTTTAATTTCATTTGAAGTGGCAGTGAGCCGTGCATATCAGCCGAGTCAGCAATGGTAGATGGGGCAGGCGAGTTATGGAATAGAGACCTCGTACGGGTCGATGAATTGTCGGTTCTGTGAGATGGTCCGACGACACGAAGAAGGTGGCTGGGAGTGGATAGATGCGGAAGGTGGAATATCGCACATGGTAGAAGGCATTGAAACTATCGATAGATACTGGCTGAAATGATGATGATGATGGTGATGAATTTCATTTATTTGCTGTTTACGGTTTTCCTACTTGTATTCGATTGAAAGCATCAACGATATGGCCAGAGTACCAAATTGAATCCAAATTTTTTTAGTACATAGTAACAAAATTCCATCCGAAGAATGGATAAATTGTGTTCTATGTAATAATTTACCATTCTAATGATAGCCTAAGCTGGCATATAAATAAAAAATATAAGAAAGTGAAAAAAGAGGGCACTCCAAATCCACAGAAACATTTATGATACGCTTGAAAGTCATATCTTGCCTGAACCTTGGTTCAAGGTCCTGGTGCCGTATTATCCCATTTATCCCTTTGAAATTCCCAACAAGCTTACGCATTTATATTATATAGCATCCTACCAAATAAAACAATGCTTCATATCAGACACGATTTAATTCATGTGTAATTTTTTTTTCAGGTACTATGGTCTGACAGCAACGAACAATTATTATATGTTTTTGTTTTATAATTTCTTTTTACATTATTTACCGGCATTATGCATCGATACCTACAATGTATTGGCCGGTAGACGACGCGTGTAAGTTTTCATTTTATTTATTTCGGATTTTATCATTGAATTAAAATAATATCATAAAGAGAAATCATTTAATTCTTTGTTTGTAATAGAAAAACTGAAAAAGTAGTTCACCGATTTTATAAACTGTTTCATTCAACGATAGAAAGCTATTTTTTGTGCAGGTTTTCTAATGAATAGTTAAACTATGAACTAATACAAAAACTAGCGGATGGGGATTCGTGGGTAACAGACATAACTTTCAATGAATTTTTTTTTGTGAAAAATTTGCTAATGTTGTGTACTTTCTCAAATATCCCAAAATAAAATAAAAATTAAAAAACGAATAGTAATTAAAAATACTTTTGTTAATCACGATTAAGAATCGAGTTTTTCCAATAATCTAATATATACTTACAAAAATATCTTCTTTCGCCTATATGCAGACCTAATCTATTTAACAATATATTCCGTGGAAATTCTACTTACATCCTAGTCCGTCCATGTTTTTGCGTGAAACCTTAACCCATAAAAAGACAAACAGAGGGCGAAAGGGGTGATTGTTAGCAATGTGGACTGATGACCCCATTGTCAGCAATGTACCATATCAGATTATCACCATGCGGATCCCCCTGGAAATTATATTATAACTGTTATAAATTTCTCGTGCATTTGATCTAACCTGACCTCATATTCCCTTGTTACTATTTTGTGCTATTACTATATGCAATAAATACTAAAGAATAACTATTTTGTTTTCAGAATGTTAAAACTCTACTTTAAAGTTATGAAATTAACAAATATTCTGTTCTATTTCTCGACGCAACATTGGAAATTTAATGATGACGGAGTTCAAAGTATGTGGAATGCATTGACAGAAGAAGACAAAGCCGTATTTCCATTCAGTTTAAAGGAAATGTCGTGGGAAAGGTTGTGTGAAACATTTTTAGTTGGTGAGTTGCGTTTTTTAAAAATAACTATACCTAGTTGCTGGTTAGAATACAACACACTACGTCGCGGCACGATATATGGCTGATAGGATTTTGTGTATAGACAAATTTCGTATGAACCATAATTACTTACCGACCTCCATCGATCTAACTATTATAGTATAACTTTGCTTTTTTAAGAGTTCGGCCGTCAACATATACATACGAATTACTTTTTTTTTCTATTTTGATTTTAGAATGTCATTACAAAGTCGCTGTCGCTGTCTATCCCTGTGTATGCTTAAATCTTTAAAACTACACAACGGATTTTGAAGCGATTGTACGAGTGTACATGTATTATATATAATACATGCGGGTGTACATGTGTTATAGAGGCGAGGCGTAGATAATAAAAAGAAAGTTATTATCATTGTAATATAACTAATATAAATACTTAGATACATTTTTGTAAATACATACATAATATACATAGAAAAGACCAATATAAATAATCATGCTCATTAACACAAATGTTTGTATACTGTGTACTCGCACAGTATACAAACATTTGTCGAACCCGCGACCATCGGAATATGCGATGTGTAAACCACTAGATCACCGAGGCAATCCATCCTTGATCCTTGCTAACTAACCAATCTAACTACAGGTAAGACAATATTAACCGATATCATTCTTACTTCAGGTCTTCGCGTCTACATAGTAAAGGACGATCTATCTACTTTACCTGAGGCGAGGAAGAAATGGAACAGGTAATATTTAATTTAACGATTCTATTTGGTATTACACTTTATCTTCGTATGTGTCTCCGATTACAAACAGTTTTTTTTAAATGTGTATCTGACTGCAAATAGATTTTTGTATGCATATCCGATTATAAACAGATTTTTGCATGTGTATCCGATTATAAACAGTTGCATAATATTTTTTTAAATATAGAATATCTTTTTTTCAGATTATTCGTCCTTCACCAAATACTCAAGCTTGTTACTTTCTCGATGCTCATGTTCATTATGTATTTACTATTAAGGCCTATATTATCATTATTCTCCCGTTGAGTACTATGAATCTTTGAAACTAATGTTATAACACATATTTTCATATTTTCAAATTAATGCTGCTAGAAAAATATATGAATAGACAAATATCTAAATAATAATACAATATAATGTAATAGTACAATTAAATATAATATTAATAATGTAAATGCATAAATAAATAAAAAAATAGTATTAGATACCTAGTATTATCTTTGTGAATGTAGCAAAATGTAATAATTTTGAGATTATTTGATTTACATATCACGCACAATCATATCTAATAATATCTATTTTAGAAAATTTTATAATCTTACATTCCATTAAATTCTAGTAATGATCTCTTCAGAAATTAATTGTTAGAGATTCTTATAATAGTTGATAAAATACATTTAGGTAACTAAAGTTCTATATATGATATTTTACCTCATTTTATTGCAATCTGACCTGAAAGGTAAATCGTTTCATTTCATCTCAACTCCTGTAAAACTGAAGTAAGTTTATAATTTAAATATAAGAGTTACGGAATTGTCGGGGGATGGCTCTGAAACAAATAGCGAGACCGGAGTCTCATTTTAAGCCAAAATAAAGCAACAGATGTTAAGTGAGATTATAACGGACGGCCCGTGCTGAAAACGCCATTCAATTGGCGTGTGTGTCTATGTTTTATTCTATTCTATCTAATGTAATCCGGTAATAGTAATCAAAAACGTTGTCATCTAAATTTTTTTATAATAAGACGACTATAAAATCATTATTTATCTCATATTATTTCAATTATATTTATATAAAAAAATAGATTTGTTTTTAATTCGGGCATATAATATTTCGTGTTAATTCCGTTGTGTGTTATATAGGTATGTTATATATTAGTCAGTAAGTGACATTTTAGAAATAAAGTAAGTAATTTACATTAATCTGTAGTTTCATTTTTGTAATTCTGCCATTAGCAGCTACTGCATAAGTTGCGTTTCTGGTTCAAGATATGACAGTAGGGAGCCATAATACTTTACCTACTATTTAAACATAGCAACACTTTTGAGGTACCACAGACGTCATATGGTATCGATAAATAAATTAACCGAATGGCCGATCAACAAAGAAATTTATTTACTATCCTGTCTGATCTGAGCACGTATTAAACGAGCGAATAAAAAAAATATAACAATAAACAAAGCAAATACAATAACGTTATTATTATCACGTTAGCATTTTACTGTTCCGAACGAGTACTATGTTATGTACTATTTATTAATAAAATTTTTATTGATTGATTACTGGTACGATTCTGATTAGGTAAGTTAGATAAAATAATTGAAATTAGTGATTGACAGATGTGATATTTCTATTATTCAGGCATGTACGCGACGATAATAATTTTCCTGAATGAATTTCAACAAGCGTAATTTTTATTTAATTTCATGCGAATATTTAATCTTTGGGGGAGGCCTATGTCCAACAGTGGACGTCTTCCGGGCTGCGATGATGATGATGATGATTTAATTTTTGGATTAATTACAGAATTTAATATCCTTGCATTGTGTTAAAGCCAAAATTGCAGCAGTAGTTTTTGCTAATTGCGTTGATCAGGCGTTTTAATTTTTGTTATTTGTATACCTTCGAATCAATCGATATTATGTACTTTTTATTACTGCTTCTAATTGTTACACGGCTAGTTCCTGTTCCAAATTTAATCTGTGTAAAAATAAAAATGACAAATTAGAAGTGTTGTTAAACTGTGCATCAGAGTTTGTTATTGACAAATTCCATTGTGACAACTTCGAGAAATATTATTTTGTGCACACACTTTTATTACATAAATATTATTGATGTTTAATCAATTTCCATTCATCAACTTAAAAATATGAATAAAAAACTACATAATATAATTAGAATAATAAAAAAAATACTTTAATATTTCTGTGGAAGGTTATTTTTTTTATGGATGATAATGGAATGGTGCACGCGCCTGTTCTATCGGTTTACGCTGGCGAGGCTCCAATGGAGGATGATGAGATGAGCATGAGGTTAGGTCAGTTAGCCCATCGTGACAAATTCACTGAGAATTTGTCACGATGGTTTCCAGGGGGAAACGCGTAGAGGCCAACCTGACATGGTACATTGCTAGCCATGGGGTTAGCAATCCAGATTACTAACAATCCCCTTCTCCCCTCCGTGGAAGGTTAAATTTACAAAATCATGCAGGATGACTGATTTGTTTCAATTATTTCTCTGTGGATTAATTAGAATTTTAGAATATGTGTATTTTTCTACTATGACGATGTCAAACAGCATACGGCCCATCATCACGAACATAATATGAAATGTGAATAAAGCCCAATACCTTAGATTGTTGTCTTTGTGGGTAGGCCTTTTTGGGTATCCATCAAAAAACATCTCAGTTTTTTTCTCCTTATAATTATCCTTTAATGGAAAGGCAAAGGGAACTGCACCCATACTGCCATGTCTGAATATTTTATTGTCATTATTTTTTATGCAGTGCAAAAACCGTTATTGAGTTTCCTAATAGTTCTTGTGGAGCGCCGAACACGCCACCCACCATGGCAGATCCCAAGGAGTCCCCCGGACAGAAAAACTAGCCGTATAGAAAAAACCCCGACATATCGGAACACACCCAACAAGAACCAAAACTTCCTACACAGCGAACTCCCCATCCGAAACACTCCCCGGAATCCACCACAACGAAGAACGCATCCCGCGCTCCCGCCATCTTTTTCTCAATAATGAAACGTCAGTAAATTTGATAGATAGCTGCACGTTTTTCACTCTATCTGGAAAATAATAATAATTAATAAATCAACTATTTGCGCCATTTATAGATGATAAACAATTCAATTTACGCAAAAACATGACAAATCAATATTTATAATTTCTTATTCATTATTAATAGGTTAACAAAAATTTCGTTATTGCATAATGTATCGCAAAACATTTTTTCCAAGGTATACAACATACGAGTACTGTCTTCATACGAAGTTTTCCAATCTGCTACAATAAATGGCTATAGACATTATTCGAAAAAGGCGTACAAAAAGGTCACTCATTGTCTATTTGACATGGATGGAACTGTTCTAGGTATGGTATTCAGATACAATATAATAAAATAAATACTTCCTGATTACCTACCTACCTACTATTTAGTTTTGGCCAGTCATGTATTGCACAACGAACAAGAGACAAACCCTATCTGTTGAAAAAATTTCATCAGCATGATTGCAGGTTTGGCATTTGGCATAGAAATCATTTACTTGTATTGGCATTGCACTCATTTTTATACAAACAAGAGTAGTTCACAATAAAACTAGATTTGTGATTTATTTGCGAATATGGTACTTACTGTCGATGAAGCTATGAAAAAAATATATTTGGATGAAGAAAAAAAGACGAAGAATAAATAGTACTTTTGTAAATATTCAAATATTGTTTATTGAATATATTACATGGTTTTTTGTTCCTAATTAAATATGTATTAATAGAAACTTATTTGCGACTTAATAGTACTTAATATATCTTGTTTTCGCAGATTCAGAACATATGTACCACAAAATAATTAAAGAAATATGTGATAAGTTCAATAAAAAATATACAAATGACCTCGAAATTAAGGTAAGAAATTTGCTGATGAATGATTTCAGGAGGAGTGGCATGTTTGTTATATTATATCAGCCGTTTATAATCTGACAAGGAACAATAGCATATTTCATTTATGTTTCCGCGTGATTTTTTGTAGATGTACGGTGAAACCGATCGTGCAATTTGTCTAACTATTGTCAAGGAACTGAAACTACCAATATCTGCTGCTGAATTTGAACTACAGCTGGAACATCTGGCTCAGAATTTACTACCTAGTGCGCCAATTCAGATAGGTATTTTTTTGTGTCGTGAGATCGTTGTTTACCTATATGCAAGTTTCTATTTTTTTTTTTTTTTATTTAAATACATTTTTCCACAGACATATTCGTCCGTGCCTTTTTTAATTTACTTTAATATTATAATATTTATTTAATTTCCACTTTTGTACAACTCCAGCCGAGATGTTACAATTTGCCTAACAATGACACCGAGGCAGACCTTATCCGTCTGGCCCAGAACCACCGCTGGCCGGCCGGGTGAGTTGACAACATGCAGTGTCACCCATCTTTATTTGGAGGATTAGATTTAACAATATGCATGTACAATTATATAAATCTTACACTACTACTAATTTCACAGTTTTCATTACATTGTGCAATGTAAGAATTCATAATGTTTTACACACATTATGAATTCTTACACTGCATATACAATTATATGAAATCTTATTTTAACATTAAGCATGTTTCTATTAGGAATATTATAACGTTTTATCAGGTACCAGGTAGATATACCTATATGTCCAGGTGCCGAACGTCTGCTAACTCATCTCCACGATTGTAAAATACCGATGGCCCTTGCGACCAATTCTACTGAGCAAGCTGTTAGGTTGCATGCTACTGCGAGACCTAAGCTATTTGGCATGTTCCATCATAAGGTAGATACCTTCTAATATAATAAATAGTTTTTACACAAGATAGCTGTATCTCTGATCTGTGTGTTGCAAACTTTAGTGACGGTAGATGAAAAAACTGCTGTCACCTATATACCTACATTGACATCGCTGTTACTGCAGCCAGCTCGTGACCACGGCTAGTGCGACCTAGATAATATAAATAATTAGGTACGTACCTAATTTAGTTGTTATTGGCCATAGATACATTTTATGTTTTTAGGTGAGCGTTACAGATCCAGAAGTAGCTAAAGGCAAACCAAATCCAGACATATACCTTGTGGCTGCCTCGAGGTTCCGTGATAAACCTAAACCTATTCAGGTACCTAAACCTACACAGTATATATATAAGTAGCAGTTCCATTGCACTTTCTAATATCTACATACTTATATACACAAGCAAAGTACTGCGTGATATCACGCAAGGCCATATGGTCACGCTATTATCTACTGTACTAGGTATTAGTATTACAAGATTTAAATTTTTTCTGATATCTGTACATTACCAAGTTCGTTCTAAGAAATAATACGGAAAAATTTGTCATTTTACAACATCTACAAATTATTACAACGTTCGCATTCGCTTAAACCAGGACTTTTAATAAGACCAAGAGATTTTCTTTTTGTAATATTTTACGCCAATAACTAACATTAAGTTAAGAAATTCATAGATTTTACTGTTTATCATCAGTGTCTAGTCTTCGAGGATTCGGCAATAGGCGTCACAGCTGCAAACGAAGCGGGCATGCAGGTTTATTTTGTGTGTTATTATGTGGTAGGTTTATGGGATGAGATCAGCAGTTGTAGTATGTACTATAGTAACCTTAGCATTACCTTATTACTTCGGTAGTAATTTCCTATGCCTAAATTCAAATTCAAATTATCTTTATTCATATAGGTCTATTACAGACTCTTACATGTCAAATCTACCGTCAGTTCGGAATGATTTCAAGATGAAAACTGACATGAAATTCAGCTCTTATTCTTTTCAAGTAATAATCCTTTAATAAGTTGTATATGAAAAGATATTATACACTCAACAGGTTGTGATGATACCCGATCCTCGTCTGGACCGCGAACAAACCCGACAAGCAACTCTAGTTCTACGTTCTCTGTTGGATTTCAAGCCCGAATTATTTGGCTTACCTCCATTTGATGCTATTCCTACAAGAAAAAGTAGAATAGACTAATACAATATGTTAATTGATAAATAATATATGGAATAGATATATAATTAAAAACATTTTATGGCTGTTAAAAGTAGTTTAATATTTGAAAATACAGATATATCTTTTATTTTTATAGCTAATTGTGAACACAATTTTAAACTAATACCAAATTTACATTTGCTACAATTGATAACAAAAATCAACACAAGTTAGAAAATATTTTTCGGAATATTTGTTTTTTTTTTATATTTAATTATATTGGTAAGATTATCCAATAATTTAATTGAAAATAACTTAATTCTTGAATTAATATCACAAATTCTTCATTCGATAACGCTTCTTTTTAATTGTCGCAAAACCAAATATGAAAGATTGTTATTCCGAACCCCATTAAAATTTAAAAACTTTAAAATAAATTTAAACACCTGTTGAATTCTGTTATTTTACTATAAAATATTTACAAAACTATGAAACACATAAAAAGTACAATTAGTTGGTAGTGCTAAAAGTATTAACTCTAATCAATATATTAATGAACGGACATATTATGGGAGGTTGTTAACTTTACAATAAACGATTGGTGATTATTAACTTTGTACATAGTAATTTACAATTTTAGATATTAATAATATACAAAAGAAAATAATAACATACGAAACTAAATGATGAAACCATAAATATAAACGAAAAATAGCAAACAAATAACGATAATTTGCAATATTGCATTTACTTTTCTATAATATATACCCTTGTTTTAAAATGTTTTTAACATCATTCCTAACAAAAAAAATTTAAAATGTCTAATTATATACTTAATATACATACCTATACTTCAAGAACACACAAGTAAATTAAAAAAAATAACAAAGCATAAATAGTTATAAAGAAATAAAAACCAAAGTTTCATCATTTACTTACAGTTGATTTTAAATTATAACCCATTACAATTTATAACCTTAAAATATAATTATATATAATCGTTAGGGATCACCTGTAACCGTTACTTCTTGACATTTAATTTAATGGTCAATTTATCACAATAACACTAACGTAAGTTGTAAATGATTGATGATAAAGGCAACGGGACATTCCAATTTGTTTGTATAACTACCAAATTATTCCATTTTCTTTTACAGAACATATTATTAGATTTATACATTACAAATTGAAAACAATTCGTTTCCCGATGTCATTAATTTATTCAAACAAAAAAAGATCAATGTACAAATGTATATTAAAAATAATAACGTAACAGATTAGGAGTGCGTAAATTTGTCTTTAAAAGGAGTTGTTGCCGATTCAGTAACAGTACTCTTTAGTAGATACTACTAAAGACCTTATTTCATTTGTATCTAATATCTAATAATTGGACCTATAGGAATGCATATAATTTGGTAACACAATATATAATGTGCAATTGAAAATTATAACATTAATTATAAAACTGCTCTATAACCATACTGAAAAGGAGATATAAAACCATCATATTCTTTCAGTTTCAACGTGGGAAATCGCCGTTGCCTTATATAAACTCATTAATATATATAACTAAAGCAGACCACAAAACATTTATTAATAGAAATATAAACAATTCTACAAGCTTTACAATTCTAATATTACAGATTACTCAAGTTTTATTTACATAATGCTATTAACACTAGACTTCAGAAGTAGACAAATTTTTACACAAAAAAAAACAATAAATAGGAATTTTATCAATCTGATATATCTATTATTATTAACTAAAATATACTTTAAATATAATAGATTGGATTGGAAGTTATTTCAGTTCAGTCAATTTACTGTTATTTCAATTATTATACAACCGCAAATTTTATTTAGTTATGTTTTTCTCAAAAGAACGTTTGGATAATATTCATATAAAGGTTACATTAATGTAATGAAACAAACATATCAAGAGCTAAAATGACTTCCTCTCCAAATTGTAGAGTGCAAACAGGATATTTTAGGGCATATGATAGAATGCTGTATCAGAGGTAGCCAACAATGAAATTGAGAAATTTATTTAAGCAATGACAATAAATCATACTACGTTTCTATTTATAAAACTATATACTTTTATAGATAGAAATGTAGACAAAAGTTGACCACTTCTGCTATAAGTAGGCTACTATTAATGGGAACTATCTCGAAATGAGTATTTATTATAAAATTTTGAGAATAACGTCAAGAGAGCACACTCAATATTTACTATAAAGACAATTTTACTTTGCAAACAATATTTTTTGTAACTAAAAACTTTAAATAACCATGTTACTAATATAATTTATCAAGGCGAATTAAAAATTCGTTTTTAACACCATATGCCCTTTAGTTACGTTGGTTGCTTTTTTTATTATCAGTCTCCTATTAGGCACTTAGCATCCTCCTTTGAATTACCTTTTTTGTGTCGACTAACGACCAATTTTATATTTATGAACACTATGTCTGGCACTTTTTTTGTCAACTATTTATGCTGTTTTTTATACAACATTTGCATGTGTACTTATATATTTTTTTGTGTTGACGTCCAAGATTATTTTAGTCATCTTATCACAACCAGTAGACTAACTTATATGCTACAAATTGTCGCATATAAATTAGTCTATAAATTAGTGATCTTATTGTCAGGAACGCAATCATATCCCGACATTTCAATTATTGCCATAATTCCCATCAGTTGTTATTTAAATAATAAAACAACTATATTTTTTTTATTTTATATATACGATAGGTCTGACATAAGTTTATCACATGGGTATTCTTAGTAAGGACTCTTTACGCGGTCTTCAGAAAATAAACGATTTTCTTTCCTTGACTTTTGACTTTAAAATTTTAATTTGTAATATTTTGACTGCCATTTAACGTACTATTCACCTCATAAACAAAGTTTTAAACACTACCTGGAAATTAAAATATAAGGTGATGGGGACTTACTAGGTCCAAATAAAATACAAGCAAGTGCAGTGACGTCACAACAAAGAGAATGTTGAAAGTAATTATATTTTTTTTTATTTATACCGAGCACAGATATATGCAAATACGGGATAATATAACCATATGTTGCTAATTATTTTGAAATCTGTAACTGTACACTGGTTTGGTATGCTCTTTAGGACTAACTCTTTATAATAAAGAATGTTCTTCATTAGTGATTTAAAATAAAACTATATTTTTTTTTCCATAATGTCATGGTATTAGGAGTTTAAATTGGATGAAGTATAGTAATTGTTTGTGCCTATCTCGTATCCAACGGGAAGATATCATTGGATGAACTGTGGTATCATTGGAATTTATCGTACAACTGTTACAAATGTAATGAGAGAGGTAGTATAGCGACTACAGCGATGAACTCCGATTTTTAAACCATTCGATAGAGGTTACGATACCTACATATTTCTCGTTGGATATCTATGTTCGTATTCGTATGTCATTCTTATCAAGGTTAAGTTCACAGAGTTACTCTGTAATGTTTATCTTACAGGTTCCTAATTAAGATTCCTTATTATACCAGATCGATGACTTATTAAGGTTATTAATAATTTACCAGTCGAGATTTTGCGACCGTCTAGTCCTCTTGTTAAGAATCATTATCACTACCATCTCAGCTCCTGCAGTCATAGCGTATGACACTGAGATTAAGTCAACATTTGTTTACCTAGTCACTAGAACAGATCGAATATTCATAGAGCAGTCTAGTTTAGTCCAGCATTAACATAATCTGCTAATAAATCAAGTAAGGTCATGACGTTATCATTTTGCTGCTGTAGGGCTATGTTATCCCCAATTTCACCCATAATAAATTTGCATGTATGTCACGTAACAGGCTTATCATTATTTTGTTTGTGTGTCTCGATCACTTTGTTGTGGACTGTTATTTTCTTATCTTCATTAGAAATTTCATTGATATTATTTTCTGTAGGTTCGAGATATTCTATGTTTTTACTTTTCTCATACGCTTGCACTCTTATATCATTATCCTGTTTACTTGTATCATTTTCTTCTTTCTGCATCCTTACCTCTTCCTCTTCTCTCTGTTTCTTTTCCTCTTCTTCTTGTTTTCTTTTCATTTCTTCTTCATCTTTCTTTTTATCTTCATCTTCTTTCCGTTTCTTTTTCTCTTCTTCTTCTCTCTGCTTCTTTTCTGCGGCTTCTAATCTCTTCTGTTTATTCCACCACGGCATAAACCGTTGAAACATAACTCTAGACCGGTGTTGGGGTTTCAAAACCCATGACAAAGCCATGTCCGCATCAGCAATCCTGAAATAGAAACGTCATCCTTAAAAATACAAACTAATATATAAATAAATTAGAATGGATATTTTTTTTCCTAAATTACTAATGCCAATTTATTTTATTCGAGAAATAATCTTGGTATCCTTTATTTGGGACTATCAAGGTAATGTAAAGGCACTTTTACAAAGCATAGCAAGTCGCAATACATTAGGATGATTTACATAAAATCTTAGAACACGGGTCTTCAAGAATAGAAGCTACTGCGACATGCCAACTTATCAAATCAAGTAGCTTTAGAAATATTTTTTATAGCCTCTGATCACGAGTTTGAGAGAGCCGCAATAACAAGGGTATAGAGCGGGTTAGTTGCTAGTCTTTTAAAAGGAGGAATAAACTCTTTACTTGAAGGTTTCGAATACCACATCGGTTCAGAAATACCATTCTTAAAAGGCGTGACTACAACGCCATTAGGTTTCTAATAATTTGAGATAACGACCACATATTTTTATATAATTTATATGAATTGTTTCTTAAAGTAAATATATAAATAGTAAACATGAGAACCAATTATCACAACACATTTTATATCATAATTATGATATAGGTTTCGATTTGACCCTAGCGGTTCTACCTACCCTACTGTCTTTAAATAGAACCACGATATTGAGTGCACAAGGCCAGGTCGGTTTAAACGCTCGATATCTAAATAAGGTACTAGATAAGTAAAAGAATGAGTTCATAGTCTTCGTCTGTCGTTGCTATTGCCGCCCCGTAACACATACGTGTTACCGACCTTAAGATACCTTAATATACCCTTCTAAAAAACTACATGCTTCTTTGAAATATCTGATCCCGTCATTGCTACCATTGGATTATTACTAACCTTCTTTTAAATCTCTCTCGGTCAATTGCATACCTCTCCCAATGACCTGGGCGAGCTAAGCGAGCTGCGAAAGCCCAAACCCTCATAACATGGACTTTGGGTGGCTTTTCTGAGAAGTTGACCTGAAAAAAAGATTAGAAAACCTAAATTATTACATTATTCCACAAAAAAATGTTGATCAACATTTTTTATTCATAAAATTATCCTAAAAACTCTATGTAACCCGAATAAAAACTATGTGTGACACAAAAGATACAATGAAGTAATTGGAGTAATCTCCCATTTATTATTCATATTGTTACGTGCACTTTGTTTTAGTTATAGTCATTGTTAACATTTTGCGCCGTAAACTACCTAACAAAACATGTATACACATGGAGTCAGATCTGTCTTTTGAGTGCAAGACCGTATCTTAATTACCTCATGTTACTTCTGATAAAACATAACAGAGCAAAATAAAACATTTTTATCTCTGTGAAGCCCGACGCACGTTTTAAATGAATTTCTTTACAATTTTGAGTAAACTTACGAAATAACAAAAAATAATGATTATCAAGATAATAAATATAAGTAAACAACAATAACAATAAATTCGTAATTTATAAAAAATCTATAGAATACGCTTGCTCTAACGGAATATCTATCATAGAATATAGATTTCAGAAAATTGATAATAGTTAATTAATTAGCCGCTGTGGTACTGTTGCAAAATCTATTTGTATTTATATCTATGGATATATTGCACTTATGCCCTTGAATATTATCGCCGTATACATTGAAATAATGCACGCATCGCTGCGTCACAACACAACGCATACAGTGATACGATAAGAATACCTTGAGTTGAAGATAATTATATCAAGAAAACATTTGCAATTTTTACATATATTTTGATATTTGTTATTTATAATTACTTGTAAATTTATTGATAGTAATTTCGACAAATTACCAAGTGGTCAATAAGAAAGTATGGATTGATAAACGAAAATTCCTTACGGAATCTGTCACTCAAAGGAACTGTATCTATTATTAAGAACAGTTTACACGACCCGATTAAGATCTTTGAACTATACTAAGTGACGCATGATCACGTCACTATGATTCTGATGAGTCATACGTTGGCGTAGTACGTAATCAATAATTTATCTCACAGTCGTGGAATTAACTCATGACGTGGCAATTCGTCATGATGTTATGAATAAATAAATGTTTACACATATTTTCGTCAGCAAACAAACAAGGATAGGTAACATAATATGTTTAAATATAAACGATTAAGAAATATAAATTGTAAAGTATTTATGTATTGTTTTGTTTGTCATGCCAGACATGTTGAGATATATAACTAAAACTAAGTCGCCAATGAACATATATCTTTACAACCTGAGAGACAAATGTCTCATCCACCCTTAAAATTGGCTTCATCCAACATAATTCCGAAGAAGATTATTGTAATCCGACAGAGTAATAATTTCCAAAAGATAATAGTCACCAATTGTTTGCAGTGCATTTCAAAATATTCACGTTACTTGAACAACTATGACCTTGGTCCAAACAATTCAGTACTCAGTACTCCTATTATAAAAATACGAGGAGGGTGTTTATTTTTTCAGCTATTTAGAAATTTTGAACATAAACTATATCCGCTAACAAGCTAGAAATCCGCTAACAGCGTATGGTGGAGTACTGACATCTCTGAAGCATGAAATGACACATTTCGGCGTCGTAGGTCATCATAATACATTTCAAAATATTCATCATATTTTCATCACAATAACTAATGAAACTTGGCCTAATGGCCTGTCTCATCACAGCTTCTCACGACATCGGAAATACTATTTGTTTTGAAAGGTAGGTTAAGTAGGTTTGGTATGAAATGGTATAGTAGAAGGTCGCCGGTAGTACCCTCAAATAAGAAATGGGGTATCTCGGTGTGGGTAATTAATTATAGGTGCTTAGTCTATTTCACAATTATCACCAATTCACCTAAAACCATAGAAGTATTATCATACGATATTATCGTCGACGTTACCAACTTAGGCATTGGTTGTAGATCGACATTATATGATTAAATATATCGCACCGAAAAATAACATCATATTCATACAACTCTTTGCGTTCGTATTCTATTCTGATAGTAAACGTCGAATATAGTGCAGCGGTAAATTATAAGTCTACCACCGTAAATTAACGTGTTGTCTATAAAATTTAATGTGTTATGAAAATTTCTAAATGTCTTTCCAAATGCTTTGTCAAATCTAACTATCTCCAACGCTTTCAATGACTTGCGTAAACAACAAGTTCTTACAGTAACAGCAACAAAGTTATAATAAGGGGTCAATTGCAGCTAAAAACAATCTTCGGCGACTGCCAGCATTAACTTTACATGTCGGATCTTTATTTAGTAGCAATTTAAATTTCAAACCGTTCACCTTCAGTGGAAAATTAACAAAGTTAATCATATGTCCTCAGTAGCCTTTGCAATTGCAATGTATTTCAAAATATTTATCACCCTTGCACCACAATGACATGATGTGTCATAAATTACAGTGACTTTACTACTTCAATGGTAGACAGACACCGTGGTGGTGTTTCCCATTACATCTAGGAATAGATGAGGATGAAACTATTGGGAGAAAAGTGGATTATCATAATATCATAATGTTAAATGGAATCATTTACAGTCTATTCGTTGCTCCCATAGTGATTAACATCTATAAATTATTATTAATAACTTAAAATTTACTTAATGAGGATATATATTGTTAGCTATAAAACATTAATACGCTATAATTAGTATTCATAATCGTTTATAATTTCAATTAAGTGACATCATTTACATTATTTTTGTCAATATTATTATAGTAGTCACGTCCAACAGTTAGTATATCTATAACAAAAATATTTAACCGGTCAACAATGTAGAGTTTATTGACCAAAGTCGAAATCGCAGACAAAAAAGTAGTTAGCAAATAGGCTACTTTACTGACTACTTACATGATTATAAATTATTGTCTTGTAAAAAATATTATAATAATATAAATTATTTGTTGTACTGTACCTACCCGATCATAATGTATGATCAAACGTACTTCTAAAATTAAATTCGATAGATTATATGTTGATGAAAGAAATAATATTTTTTCTCTACCACTCTAATTCTGATAAATTTGATCTTGTTAATTATTTATTTGTCTTATGTAAAGATGTATTGTGAAAATTAAAAAAAAAAATGTAATGCCAACCTTACAATACTTAAGCGCAGGGCTTTCCCAATTAATTGTAGTATCAGCAGAGACTAATACTCTCTAATTAATTGGGAAAATGTATTGTATACATGTATTATACATATCAACCTTGTTCTTGAATCACTAACCATTGCTGAAAACGCATAAAAATCCGTTGCGTAATTTAATAGATATAAGCGGACAGACAGCAGCGGCCACTTTGTTTTGTATATACTACTATACTATGTAAAGATATATTTTGTTTCAAGAACGACGAAAGAAACCGACGCCCTATATGGCAGCAAACCCTAGCGATTATAAAAACATAGTTATATTAAGTAATTTGAATTTTGTTATCCACAGAGTAATATATTGGCGACGGTCTATAAGTTGTCACCCGATCTAGAAACGCTAGGTTTTTTGCAAATCAGCCCGTCATCAGTATGTAAACCTTTTTAGTGCTGTAGCCACTGCTTGAAATGGCTTCCCTAACAATAAGTCAATGGCATATTGAGATGTCACGATTCGTCTATTGAAATCGTGACATGACGTTCTATCACGACTTATTTATACAATAGTCATCATCATATTCTTTTTGTGATTTGGAATGCATGTTATGTATTAAGACTATCTTTTGGGTTCTGTGCTCAATAGGTACGTAACTTAGGCAGCAAAGCTATAACTTTACTAATCCGAGCATTTGTGTTAATCGAGAGGGTATTGATTTCGGGACTATTCTAATGTCTTACTACGTTCCAAGCAAGCAAGCCGACGGTCACTCTTATTTCCATAGAATACACCGTGGTGTCTTTGTCAAAATAACCCGTAAAAGTGACAAGAAAAGTAGAATATTAAATCAAAGTTTATTAATAATAATGTATTGTACTGACTTATTGGAAAAAAGTAAACGAAAGTAAATAAACCATAGAATACAACACAGCTGGTACAACGAGCAGTAAGAAAATATTGAAAAAAACACTAAGTACTAAAAAAAACTACAAATTCATGCGTAACTAAGTATATATTATGATTATTAGATTATTTTAGATACTCTTTTTGGAATTGTATTAGCCGAACATAACTTTTATGCGGATTAGTAGGTTTGTTATGATATAGAACCAAATGTACTTCTAGTTAAATACAACGCAGTTAACCGCAATTCGTGCTCATATGTATCGGGGAATCCCTGACACAAGATAAAATGTCGTTACTATCTGATAAACAATAAGTTCTTAATAAATATTATGTTGGTATTTGTCAATAATCAATAATAAGTTATAAAATTTTTAATATAAATGAATAATAAATAATATTGGAACATAGATATTGCTATGAAACAATGCCATCTAGTTTGGAACTATTTACTCCATTACGACATTTTTTTAATAATCAGGAAGGACAATAAAAGAAATGCTAGGTATAGTTGCTATAATAATCTTAATGCAACAGATAACGTCTACAAGAATTAAATTTATTTAATTCAAACTTTTAAATAATGTGTTTCAATCGTTTGACGATTAAACCACATGAACAAACATGTGATCATTCTAATTGTATTATATTTTGTAACTTTGCACAAATGTAGCAAAATAAAAACAAATGTTTATTCATATCAGACAATGGAAACTATATGGCAGCTGCTGGTAATATGATTAGCAGTTACGTATCTCATCAATATATTTAGTTTCTACGTATGCGCTATTTTTTGGGGCATGTATTTTGGTGATTGAAAATATATTTCATTTATTTTTACACAATCGTATTTGTCAATTGTATTTTATCACTAATATAAAATACGTGTAACAGTGATGTAGCGCAATTGATTCGATAATCATATTGAGTTGATCAGAAAGATGTATTCAGCTTTGCGAAGAATGCTAATTTGACACCCTGAC